GCGGTAGAGGTGCCCGCGCTTGGCGAGGCGACTACCTTTGAGAGGCCCCTGCTCCAAGCGCGCCGCTGACCTGCCTGACTTCGCGATGGGGTCGTTGGGCAACGTCTTCTCGGCGATGCCCCCTCTCGCGCGGACCTCGTTCTTCACGTGGGCCTCGTCCACGACCTCGACCTCTGAAGGACCAACCAGGACAATGCTAAGGATGTCGCGCCCTGCCTTGCTGCCGCCAGCAACGCCCCTCAGAGTTTTCAAGAAGAAGGAGGCGCATGCCCAAAGCGTTCGGAGAAGCCTGGGCACGCAACCGACGACGGAACCCAAGGCGGTGTCCATGGCGAGCGCCACGAGCCCCATAGCTGCCCACTGCAGTATCCGCCGAATAGGTAGCTGCCCATGGCGTCGACCATTCCCAGGAGGAAGTAGAGGAGCTGGCGCAGCACCGCGCACAACGCGCGCCCCACTTTTTCGCCGAGCCACTTCGCAGCCGCTTCGACCCAGACGTTGACCCGCGCCACACTGAACTGGACTCCCATGGTGGTACCAGGCGCCACATTGGGCACCCCGCTCCGCTTGTCGCTTTTTCCGCGGCCATGCCCGGCGCGCCAGGAGGCTCGCCCGGGGGCGGCGGAGGGGGCCTGGATCCTTGCGTCTCCGCCCCTCCCGCGGTGGCGCCCTCCTCCCGCTCCGGATCTGCCCCGGCGGCCTCGCTGGGGGGGGGGCTGCGCGGGCGCTGCTGCTGGGCTGGCGTCCGCGTAGTATCAGGAGGGGAAAAAACACAGACACAATTAATCTGCGATTCCCAGAAAATATGGGAAAATATGGGAAGTGGGGGGGAAGACAGAAACCCAGAAAATATGGGAAAATATGGGGGATATTTTTATTTGTGTGTATTTATTTGTGTGTTCCAGTTCCCCTTCATAGTAGCAGGAGGCAGCGCTCGCACTCCTCGGTCGACGGAGGGCGCTCGCCCGGGTCGGCCCTGGCAGTGGGCGGATCCGTGGCCGGGGGACCCCCAGCGGGCGAGGACCGCTGCCGCCAAGAGTGTCACCACCCACCAAACCACCCCAACCCAACCCGAAGGCTCAGATTTACCCTCGATTTCCAGTGGGGGGGGGGTCGGGAAACATCGAAAAAACACATGTGGAACCCTTACCCCCCCCCAACCCGAAATTCGGGTCTTCGGGTTGGGTTGGGGTGGTCTGGTAGGTAGTCAGAGTGGTCCAGGGCTCGCCGTAGACTCCTCGATGGCCAGTGGCGTCGCGTCGCCCTCCTTCGAGCAGTTGGGCTGGCCGTCCTGACTGGGCCGCTCCTTTTGCTTCTCGTCGTCGCCCGAGCCACCTCCTCCCAGGTCTGCCGGGGAGTGGCCGTCCTCTGGCCCTCCAACCGTGGCCGTCGCAGAGAAGCTGGCATACAGACCGGCCCCGAGCGACGCGTCGAGCCACGTCAACATTGCATCCGCCGCCATGGAAGCCGTGCGTTCGAGGCCGTGCATGTTGGAGGGGGCGAACTGGGCCATCCAGGGGGTGGATGGACAAGTGGGCTGTTCATCGGGTGGATGGAAGCGCGGTGGTGCGAGAAATCACAGCTGGGATTGCGGATGGCTCGGCCGTCCACTTTCACCTCGTCCCTCAACCATCTTTGCTGGAATCAGCTCCTGCCAGCTAGACAGCCCTGGGCCCTCTCGACTGTCTCCACTTCTCTTGCGTATTTAATGGTCCCACTGGCTTTTGATCTCTTCTCCCTTCATGTTTTCTCAGTGTCCTCCACACCTGTACTGCTGCCCTTCTAGACGCGGTGAACTTGCCTCGACGTTGGGTTGTCAAAAAAAGGGGGAGGAGGAGGGGAGGAGGAGGAGAAGGAGGAAAAGGAGGAGGAGGAGGGAGAGGTGATAATGGGATGAATGAGGGAGGAGGAGGAGGAAAAGGAGGTTCATAAGGATGAGCGTGGAGGACGATGAGGGAGGAGGGCGGGAGCAGGATTGCGGAGGATGATGGAGGAGGAAGGAGGGGGGGCGGAAGGATGAGGACATGTGAGGAGGAGGAGGAGGAGGAGGACGACGACGACGCGGGGCGAAAAGGGAGAAAAGGGACCGAGGTGCGGGGCGAGAGGGCAGGAATGCTGGCGGGAGGGAGGGAGGGAGGGAGGCATGGGAGCAGGAGAAGGGGAGGGAGAGGCGGGGTGGTTTGGGATCGGTGCAAGGGCGCCCTGGGTCGCGGGAGCCAAGGCGGCCAGGCGCGCGAGTACCCTTCCCCCGAGGCGCGGAACGCCTTTCCGAGGGAGCTCTGGGAAGGGGTTCCATGAGCCGGGTGGATGGCCCACTTGGGGCCTCGGAGCATCAGCCGGACGGATGGCCCACTTGGGGCCCTGGACCAGTGCAGGGGTACTGGGTGCCCCGGTGTGATGTTCCATGAGCCGGGTGGATGGCCCACTTGGGGCCTGGGGGCGGCGAGGGGGTTGCGCGCAGGGCGTGCGAGGGTCGGGGGCGTGCATGAGCCGGATGGATGGCCCACTTGGGGCCTCGGGGGGGGCGGCCTCCAGGAGCCGGGTGGATGGCCCACTTGGGGCCTCGGAGCATCAGCCGGACGGATGGCCCACTGGGGCCTGCATTCGGCCTCCGCGGAACAGCGTTCGGGAAGGGCTGCGCGCCTTCCCGGAACAGCGTTCGGGAAGGGCTGGCGGCGGAGGGAATGGGGAGGGGTGGGAGCGGGAGAGCACGAGGTTGGAAGAAAGGGGCAAATGGAGGGAGGGAAGGGGAAGGGGACGGGGGAAGGCGAAATAGGACAAGGGAGCTGGGGGAAGGGAGGGGGAGGGGGGGGGGGAGGGATGAGGGAGGCAGAGTGCGAGAGAAAATGGGCGCGGTTGGCAGATGTAAGTAGCGGGCTAGCATCAGTGAGGCGCTGAACGACACTGGTGTGGGACGCGGGGCGACGACGACGACGACGACGACGACGACGACGACGCGGGGCGAAAAGGGGAGTGAAGGGAGAAAAGGGGAGGTGGCGGCGGAGGGGGCAAGGGGCTGCGCGGTGGGCGGAGGCAGGGGGAGGGCCAGCACGGGAGCGTGCACGGGGCAGACCAGGCGAAGTGGCCACTTCGGCGCCATAGAAAGGGCGCGGCGGTCGACGGGCACACATAGGACGAGAAGGAGAGAGGGTGGCAGAACAGCAATTCCAAGGCTGCCCCTCGCAGACAATTTGGCTTCACTCGTGCGGCCTGATCCCGCTTCGAGGTGTCTCCATGTCGACGCGGTAGCGGGCCGTGGGCCGAGGCGACCGAACTGCTCCGAACGCTGGGCGGAAAGGCGTTCCAGAAATCTTGGAACGCCTCCCCGAAAGCCGTTCCATGCACCCTTTCGACGGCCCACCTTCTGGATGGCCCTGTTCGCCCCGCCTAAGCATGGGCCTCACCATCGCGCCGGCCGCGGGCCGCGGGACCCCTCTGGGGTCGCCGCCCGCAGTGGAGGGGGGTCCTGGCCCTGCCACTACCCAGCACTCCTCAAAATGCCTGGCCGGGCCCAGCCCGGGCAGGCGGGTTAGGGCCCCGCCCGCCCACTCCAAAAATGCTGGCCCCGCATGGGGCCTGGAGCCCAGAGGGCCACAGAATAGGCGGCCACGCGCGCGAGCATAACCTTCTATTACATCTGACGCCCAAGTCCAGTTAGCGTCGCTTAGCGTCGACGAGCGCTGATTCGCCAGAGCCAGCAAGATGGTATGGGAGGCTCCCGTGAGTTACCGCAGAGCCTCCCCCCGCTGTCGCCGCGGGGGCCGCCAGTGCGGGGCCCTCGTCGTCACGGCCAGATTCGCCTCGGGGCCCTGGTCGGACCGCGCCCCCGGAGGGCTCGGCCGCGGCGGCGTCGGGACGCGCTCTGCTGCTCCAGGTCGTGTCCGTGGTGTTTTGGGTGGGCATGACCTGGGCCAGACGCAGGGCGGCCGTGACCGCAGGGGTGCCTGGTGAGGTTCGTTGTCGGTTGCGTGGCACCTTCGGGGGACCTCCTCCTCCTCCTCCTCCTCCTCCTCCTCCTCCTTCTCCTTCTCCTCCCCCTTCTTCTCCTCCTCCTCCTCCTCCTTCTCTCCGCCGCCTCCGCCCGCCTCCTCCTCCTCCTCCTCCTCCTCCCCTTCCTCTTCCTCTCCTTCTCCTCCCCCTCCTCCTCCTCCTCCTCCTCCTCCTCTTCCTCCTCCTCCTCCTCCTCCTCTTCCTCTTCCTCGTCTGTCCTATCGCTGGCCGCGCGTTCTCGCGTCTTGCGCGGAACCGGGCGGGCATCTTGAAACGGGTTCGCTGATTCCACGCGAGTAGCGGCGCGGTGGGACAGACCCCCCCCATTCTGGGGCGCAACGTAAGATGTCGGGAGAGGCAGGAGGCTGGGCTACGACAGCGCAAGAAGGCGTTCAAGCCGACGTTCGCCGAGAGGCAGAAGGAGGGTGAGGAGGGCCCTGACCTCTGGCGATCTGAGGCGCCAGGCCCATTGACCCCTGTTGGCCCCGTGAGTTGCGAAGCACTTCCTGCGCGGCTTTTCCGGCACGCTGGATTTGCCGGGGGGAAAGGGCTCCTCGGCGTCGTGTTGACCGGCGGTGGCCCCGCCGCCAGCGTTCAACGTGGAGCGCCGTTGGCGACCCAGAATCGGTCGATGTTGAACGATCGGACGCTGCGGAATCGGCCACTCGTTCACGGTTGAGCGCTCCCCGCGGTGTCAGAAGTCAGCGACGAAGTCGGCACGACATGAATTTGCCGTGCCCATGTGGATCTCATGGACGTTGGAGTATCGGACACCCTTGCTGGGTTGATTTGGCTGAACAGTCACACTTCGAGTTCTGGTCCCCTGCCAGCATTTCAGAAATCTGGCTTGCAGGGTTAGGGTTCGCATGTGGTTGCCTAAGGGCGACGATCCGAGGAGCAAGAACGATTGATAATGATACGTCCAGGGTTTCTAAGGTTCCCCGGCTGCAGACGCGAGGGCTGACAGATACTCAGGAAATCCTGCAACTTGGAACCTATCCTGAGCCGAACATTGATTAATTGGCGGACCATGGATTTGGCGCGCGGTCGCTAAATCCATGGATGATGGGAGGTGCCCTCCCCAAAATGCGGCCGGTGCCGCCTCGCTCGGCGGCGGAAATCTGCGATTTCCCATAGAAACGGGACCGGTCGCTAACCCACGCCCCCTCGATCCATGTTCGCGTTCGACTGAACTTCGTCCTGCACAAGGCGGGGGAAGCGGAGTGGCGAGCAAGCAGGCCGAGAAGCCCGCCAGCGATCCCTGTGGCACGGGCCGCCCTGACATACAGGATGTCTTCGACAGGAAGATCGACGACCTCAACAGGCCCAAGCGGGAGTACCTGGAGCTGGACTGGCTGGACCACCGGGCCGAGCTGCTTCGGCAGCGGTGCACCATCGCCTGGGGCGACCTTCCCTGCGGCATCCCCGGCGGCGCGCACCAGGGCTATTTCTGGGGCTCAAGAGACGGGGGTCAATGCAAACTGGGGTCAGCCAGGGCTCCGGATCCTGCAGGATCCTGCGAAGACCCCCTCTGGCTGACCCGGGTTAGCGAGCCGCTCGTGGCCGCGAGGCGGCCGCGCAGATTGGCTGACCCGAGTTTGCGAAGTTCAGAGTTGCAGTTTTTTTTGTCTTGCATTGCAGTTTTTGGTTTCTTACTGACCCGGGTCTGGATTGACCCGGGTCAGAAGATCCCGATATTCGGAGTGCCTGTAGGTATTTTTATTCTTCGTCCAAGCTCCGCCTGTGGGGGGACATGCCCGACCTGACACCAGGGGGGGCAGTTTTTTTTTGTTTGGGGGGGGGAGGGCGGCCTTCCGAGAAGGCACCCTGCGTCTCGGGGGCAAGGCATGCGCTGCTCTTGTTCTGCATGGATCTGGCGCGCTCTCCTGAGAGGGGCCATGGACCATGGATTGCTCATATTCTCAGGCGATCGCGAACATGGATCAAGGGGGCGCGGATTGGCGACGGGCCCCCCGCTTCCATGGGAAATCGCGGATTTCCGTCTCCGAACGAGGCGGCACCGGCCGCATTTTGGGAGGGCACCTCCCCCGATCCATGTATTTGGTGACCGTGCGCCAATCCACGGATCGCTAATCCATGTTTGCGCGCCCCCGTTGTTTGTTGTTCTGCACCTGCGCCTCCACTCGGTATACGGCCTGGAACATCTTGAGCTTCTGGGGCATGTTTGTTCACACCTTTTCCCCTCCTCCCTCTTCCTCCTCCTCCTCCTCGTCCTCCTCCTCCTCCTCCTCCTCCTCCTCCTCCCACGCGTCCTCCATGGCTGCTAGGCTTCCTGACTTGCGTTCGCCTCTCCTCCGTCCTGCTTTACCACAGGCACAGCCTGCCGAGTTCGGGCTCTTCCTCGCGAGCGAGCGCTCCCCAGCGCTCGCCCTCTCCCGGAGGACCGCCCCACAGCGGGCAGGAGCGCGAGTCGCCTCCGCACCCGCGTCCGCATCCGCCCTGTGGCTCAGGCAGAGGTCCTCCCGCCTTCCAAGGAGCCTCCCCAGCGGCCTCCAATCGGGGGCGGAAAAGAGGGCGGTGATGGCTGTGGGGGTGGATATCACGGCGGGGGCTATGATATTTCCCCAGATCTCGTGGCGCCTCTTTTTATTTCATTACGTCCCTGGCCCCACCCGCTGGGCCGCGCACATGCCGCCGGTCATGATTTACACCTGGGGGAGCGGCAGATATTCTTGGCCGCTCCCGATCCAAGAATATCTGCCGCTCCCCCGACACAGCCTCGGCCGCTGGCTGCTTGATGGGATCAGGCCAACGGGCCGATCCAGTGCCAGGCCGGTTCCTGCTCGCTCCCCCACCCCCCGGGGGGCAGGTGGCCCCGAGGCCTCTCGGATCGGCCCTCCTGTCTCCTCCGCACCCCTCCCTCCTCCCAGGACGCCTGCAGGGACTGGGACGCCCCCACAGTTGAAGAAGAAGAAGAAGAAGCACTACATTGACAGAAGTTATCAGAGGTCCGCGCGGATGTCTTGGATCGACGCTGGACCCCTCTGGCGGCGCCTCCAGCGCCGCCCTTGGTACGCCCCTCGCGCCCCAGCGCCAGTCCAGGAAAGCCGCGCAGACCTGCGAATGTTTACTGGTTGATGTTGTTGCTGTTGTTGTTGCTGCTGTTGTTGTTGCTGCTGTTGTTGTTACTGTTGTTGTTGTTGGTGTTGCTGTTGTTGCTGTTGTTGTGATTGTAGTTGTTGTTGTTGTTGTTGTTGTTGTTGTTGTTGTTGTTGCTGTTGCTGTTGCTGTTGCTGTTGCTGTTGCTGTTGTTGTTGATGATGTTGATGCTGATGTTGCTGTTACTGTTGTCGCTGTTGCTGTTGCTGTAGTTGTTGCTGCTGTTACTGTTGTTGTTGCTGTTGCTGCTGTTACTGTTGTTGCTGTTGTTGTTGTTGAAGTCTCATTCCTGATCAAATAATCTTGTGGATCCCCACCACGGGCGCATGCTGTTTTTCCTCTATCAAAGTGTGCCCCTCGACGCTCGCACCCTGTTCTTTATCAGGGAAAGTCTTGAGGCTCAAACCGTGCCCCTGGCCCCCGGGTTACAACAACAACGGCTCCCGCCTGAGACTTCCTTACAATTTGGCCAGCACCCCCGCTCCCTCCCGAGACTTCCTCGCATTCTATTCAGGAATCGCGCTCTCGCTTGGGACTCCCTTTGACATTGATTCAGGAATCGCTCTCCTGGCGCTGTGGAGTCGCGCTCTCGCTGGAGACTTGCTTGCAATTTTCTCACAGCGGTCTTGCGTTGGAATCTTTCGTAATTTTCTCAAGCGCCGCGCTCCCGACACCCAGGCACCAAGGAGTCGCTCTCACGCTTAGGACTCCCTCACATATTACATAGGAATCGGGGTTTCGCTGCCCTTCGTGGCCCCGTTGCAGCCTATCGTGGCCCCCTCGCGTTGTTTCGTGGCCCCGTTGCAGCCCTTCGTGGCCCCCTCGCTGCCCTTTGTGGCCCCGTTGCAGCCCCTCGTGGCCCCCTCGCTGCCCTTCGTGGCCCCGTTGCAGCCTTTCGTGGCCGCCTCGCTTTGTTACGTGGCCACGTTGCAGCCTTTCGTGGCCCCCTCGCTGCCCTTCGTGGCCCCGTCGCAGCCCTTCGTGGCCCCGTTGCAGCCCTTCGTGGCCCCCTCGCTGCCCTTCGTGGCCCCATTTCCCTTCGTGGACCCCTCGCTGCCGTTCGTGGCCCCATATATGATCCAGGGTCGAGGGCCCACGGGCCCCCCCCCCCCAGATGGTATGGTCCCAGGATTCCTCGGCCCCCTCCCCCCCCCCAGATGGTATGGTCCCAGAGACGACGACGACGACGACGACGACGACGACGACGACGACGACGACGACGACGGCGACGGCGACGGCGACGGCGACGGCGACGGCGACGGCGACGGCGACGGCGACGACTACGACGACGGCGACGACGACGACGACGACCACGACGACGACAACGACGGCTGCGGCGGCGATGACGCCGGCGGCGGCGGCGGCGACGACGACGATGACGATGACGACGGCGACGACGACGATGACGACGACGACGACGACAAGGACGACGAGGACGACGAGGACGACGACGACGACGACGACGGCGACGACGACGACGACGACGACGACCTCTGAACCAGCACAACCACAGGGGGGGGAGGGGGGCACCGCAGCGCAGCACACGCCACGCCCACCTCTGAACCACCACAGCACCACACCACATCCACAGGGGGGGGGGGAACCGCAGCGCAGCACCACGCCACGCCCACACGGGGGGGCGGAGGGGACCATCGCGCGGGGGGGGGGGGCCAATGGCATCAGCATGGGGGGGGGGGCCAAGCCCTGGACCATATATGTACGCCCTTCGTGGCACCCGCTCGTTCGCGCCCGTGGTGGCCCCATATGCATGCCCTTCGTGGCCCCGCTGTCGCCCTTCATGCCCCCCTCGCTGCCCTTTGTGGCCCCGTTGCCTGTCTCAGTGGCCCCGTCCTTGCCCTCCGCGGCCCAGTATACGTATGCCCTTCGTGGCCCCCGCTCGTTCGCACCCGTTGTGGCCCCATGTGCATGCCTTTCGTGGCCCCTATGTCGCCGTTAGTGGCCCCCTCGTTGCCTTCTGTGGCCCCGCATTATCTGCCCTTCGTGGCCCCCGCTCGTTCGCGCTCTTCGTGGCCCCATACGCATTCCCTTCGTGTCCCCGCTGTCGCCCTTCGTGGCCTACTGAGTGTCCTTCGTGGCCCTGCTGTGGTTCTCTCTCGCTCTCGCTTTCGCTCGCCGTTGTCGTTGTCCACGTCGTCGTTGTCCATGTCGTCGTCGTCGTCGTGGTCGGTCCCCTGTCCGTCCCTCTTGGGGTCGGGTCGGCCGCCCCGCTGATCAGCGCTGCCGCTGGCCATGCCGACAGTCCGCGGCCGCCCCGCCGCTTGCCGGGGCCTGGCTTGCAGGGAAGAAAGGTATACCCTCCAAGAGGGGTTCGATCTAAGACGAAGAGGGCGGGTATCAAGGGTTCGGGAAATACGCGTTATTGGACACTCGAGCAGTTAAGGGCCAACAGTCTTAAAATTATTGTTGTTGGTGGTGTCGTTGCTGCTGCTGCTGCTGTTGCTGCGGCTGTAGTTGTAGTTGTAGTTGTAGTTGTTGTAGTTGTTGTTGTTGTTGTTGTTGTTGTTGTTGTTGTTGTTGTTGTTGTTGTTGAACATTATTACTTCTAAAGAATAATTATTGTTGGGACCCCTGGTGCACGACCCCCCCGCCGCGCCTAGGCCGCAGCCTCATTTTCATCATTTTCGTGAGGAAGTCTCAGGCAAAACGGGTTGGTCCGGATCCGGTTGTGTTGTTACGATCGGTTTTCCCTTGCAAAAAATAAGCTGAAGTGGACATTTCTTGTTCTAACATAACCAAACTTCAAGAATCCCTTGCAAAAAATAAGGTAAAGTGGACATTCGCGCGCGCAAGACGAAATCCTTCCAAAACCTTAGTTTTCGTAGCGATTTTAACACAAAAACATAAAAAACAATGGTAAAAAAAAAAAACTTGTCAAAATTTCATCCCGCGCGCTCTTGCGGATTCGTAGGAAACCCAACACTTTTTAAACATTTCTGTCAAACGGGCTTTTGCGAGCAACTTTTTCGAACTTCTGCAACAACGGTTGCGCACCTGCCAGGGCCATCATCCCTGTCAAATAATACCATGCGGGACACATTCGTTTTTTCTTCGCGCGCGCACGCCGTCGTCGTCGGCCGCGGGGCCCGAATAGTAGCCACGGTCGTCCGCATGCCACGAAGTGAAGTGTCCGAACGTCATAGGGCGGGAAGCTGGGTGTGGGTGGTGGCGAAGAGTCGTTTGGAAATTTGGTAGAGCTTGAACCGGCCCCCCCACAAAGTGGGGGTATTGCCCGCCTCCTATGAAAACCCTGGCACTGTGAGAACGGAGTGTCCCCACGTGCTAGTAAGTGAAGGC